GACTACTGGAGGAGTAAATTCGGCTTTGAATTTCTACACATCAGCATCAAGATAGTCTTCTGCTACCAAGTTGACCAAAAATAATGCTGCTGATACAAATTTAAAGCAAGAGGCACCGAGGGATTGGCATGAATAGCCACTACATATTAACATCTTTGTCAAAGTTGACATGCAACTCACTCATGAAGGACCTGAGTGGCTTGTGGTGTTGGAAGTGGCAGCGTGGGGTTCTCCAAGGCGGCTAGGCTTCTCACGAGGCTGTCAAATGGTGAGGAGCAACCGGAGGCAGAGAGGAAAAAAACCAAATCGTCCATTTTAACCATTCGTTCTTCCTCCTCAGACATCTCGAAAAGCCCGATGAGTAGATCGCACCCTCTGGACTCCTGTTGTAGGACAAGAAATGAATTAAAACTGATCAAACACTCCCCGATATCAGCTGTCACATGTCGGGATATATTTTGTGGATACTGGAATTACTTTATCCTCCACTCGGCTTCTGCATCAACGACGTAAAACTTTGCGCATGCCGCTCATTCGGTTGGTCTGCTGTCTTCCCTGTGGTTTCATAAGCCGTTCATTTCCAGATTTGACAACTTTGTGGCCTCTTCCTACACACAACGTCCGCTTAAAGGTCTACTACTTCAGCGACGACTTAATTGAAGGTAATAGAAAGAATAATGCATAAATTTGAAGCATTGATTATGCATAACCTTTGGGAGAGTCTACAAACCCAAGTCCTCCCATAGCCTCTTCAACGAAAATCAAAGTTCCAAAAGAGCGAGAGTGCATCAATTTTGGCTTGTGAATACAAATTGTCTCACCAACTCGAAGCCTTCACTGTAGATGATGTTCTTAACATCTTCTCTTGACACGCAGAGCCCAACAAGCGTCGACTTGGCGATTTTGTACGAAAAGCTCCAGAGGACGTGCAGACCTACCCAAATTTGATCACTGGATAGGTTCAGTCCCCTCAAAACAGCTGCGACGACGAATCGTCTCCAGTCCACGTAAAACACCTCACTTTGCCCTGTCGTCTTGGTACCTTGAGGGACGGCGAAGGTCCTCACTACTTCCATGGGGTCACAGTCCCAATTACCGGTCAGCAGTTCAACAAAAACCTTTTCACATATGCACCCGTGAGGCGCCTCCTCACGAAACTTGGGATATTAAAAAATCAAAGACAATGGTTAGCAGCTACCCCTAGAAGTTTGTCAGATTTTGATAATGAATCAACAAGCCCCCTCTCTGGAACAGAGACAATTACAAGATGGAGTTTCCCTTCACAGTTGCATCTCATCCATCCTTCCGACACCTACCTGAAGTCATCCCTCCAACACAGTTTTAAAGGCTGTAGTTGTGGTTGTGGAATGCAATCGTTCGATGCAAAACTTCCAAATAATCCCCAAGAATGGCTTTATTTTTTTAGGAACATTTTAACGCCTCAGTCATCAAGGGAAGAAAATTAATGGAGCCAAATTAAGCCCTAAGCTAATGCATGGTTTCTGCACAGGCTCACTGATCAAATTCCAGGTGCTAACCACTGTTTATGAGATGTTTGACAATGACAACCTGCAATGACTTCTTTGAGCCGGCAGGGACTTGTGAAACGCACATCAGAGTTGAGATGCATGCAACTTGCAAAACAATTCCCTCCCTTCTGCTTGCCACCACTTTTCTCCTCCTTTACCCTATCGAACGCTACTCCAACTTAGCGCATTTAAATTAGCCGTTTTTGCCACTTTCTTGCCCCCCAAAAACTTCACCACGAATGCGCGTCTGTAGGAGGTTCTCGCGCAAGCAGTGGTAACAGCAATCGGAAGTGTCAAAGTGTGCAAGAGATTGTGTTGTCTGAGAAGAGACCACTAAATTGTAAACGCACTGCCTGTTAGGGTGGCTCCGTGGCCCCAAAAACTGCACTGCCATTCTCAAGAAAGGCATCGGACCCAAGACACAAAACGGTCTCGTACGTCAACTTCCGCTAAGTAAACAAACATTTCCTGCCATCTCTTCTCCTTCTTCTTCTGTTTGCGTGTATACACGTGATGAAGAGATACAGGGAGACGCTTTTGTCCCTACAATAGTAATTATTTTGGTTAGAATCGTCACTTCTCTTCCC